CCCGTGGGTCATGGTGGCCTTCCCCATGATCTTTGCTAGGAGACTCTGGAATCTTTCACTCTCCCCACTGGCTCCCTCCCTCTGGCTTCAGGTGGGCAGGATTCCCTTTTAACATATTGTTTTTTGTTTAATATTAATTATTTTTATTTAATATTAATTACTTTTATTTAATATTAATTATTGCTTCCCTTCTCTGTTCCAGAAAATATAAAATATTAGAAGGAAGAAAATAAAAAGCATCTAATATTTTCACACTAAGAAAATAATTTTTGTTAACACTCTGGTGCCCATCCTTCCATTATGTGCTTTTATTGGGTACTTAAAAATCCTATGTGTTTGTTTTTGTTTTCTGCTTTTTCCCTCAAACCTTACAGCCTAAATATGTAGAAAATTATTCTTGCACGTCTTCAGGGCTGCAGAACACTTGGGCAGCCAGTGTCCCCACTCCTGTGCTATCAAACATTTGAATGGTTGTGCTTTTAGAGTTGTTATTAGCCGGGCTTTGCCAAACATCTTAGTGTTCTGACAGCTTGGATAGGTTTTCAGTGTGGATCAAAGGTACATTTCCTGGGCCTCTCAGCACATGATGTGCTAGTCCACCTCCTCTACCAGAGCTGAGATGTTTGCAGCACTGAATGCTTTCTGCTTCTTTTATAAGTGACAAGTTGTCCCCTTAACTTTGTATGTTTTTAGGCTGTTTAATGCGCATGTGTGTTTTTATGTGTCATTCCTCCAATCAGTGGGTTTTTCAGATTGTTAAAGTCATTGATTCTCATCTAGTATTCCCTGATATGAATGAGAGTACCATGTTTTTCTATCCTCAAGGACATTAAAGGTGTGGCCCTCACCTTAATTTCCTGCCCTGCTGTGTGGTGAAGAGCTGCTTTGGCTCGGACTGTGCAGAAACCCTCACTGAGCTCCCATCTTCTTAATCGTACCCCTTTCTCTTCACTTTCTTAGCATTTTATCCTAGACATTAAGAAGAAGGTACATTTTAAACATCTAGTTTCAAATACTCATTTTAAAAGGAAAGGAGTCGTTTCCTTCACAACTGGTTAAGACCTGGAGACCTGGCAGAACCCTGGCACTTACTGGGTGGGGTGGGCATCTCCCCGTTGGTGGCCTTGCAGTTCTGCTCATCTTCTGTGGGTGGCCCTTGGACTAACGACATCTTTTTGCCAACAAAGGCTGGTAAGGTTGATTTCCAATATTTTCTTTGCTTTCCACCTGAATGGATGTTGCTGGGCCCCAAAGCTGGCCTCTTGGCATTTTCCGGGGCCACCAGCCCAGCCCAGCTCGGTCAGGCCCTCATTAGGTGGAGGTGGTGCTCGCCTTCCAGAATGTGGGCCAACTAAGTGCTCTGTAAGTGCTTGCGTTTTGGGGAACTGGCCTTCATGCTGAAACTGCAGCTCCCTGGGATGGGCTGGTGATCTCTGGTGACATTTTTTGGATGATAAATGGGTCAGTAAAGAAAGCAGTTTTCCTTGGAGCAGACAAAACATGACACTCAGAATTTCTTGACATGTCTTGAACAGAAAAGTGAAGTCTAGGTGAGGAGTTAGTATACTTTTGGGGGCTGAGTTTCTGTGAAGTTGCCTCAAATTAGAGCTTCTGCATATCATCTTATGTTTTTCCTTTAATTCTGATGGAACTATAGTTCTATCAAAACGATCTTTGGCTGGTTGAGTATTGAATGTGTACCTGGACTTGGGAGGAGATGGTGACACGGCCATGCTGTTGATTTTGGCTTCCCCAGGTCTGGGCTTGGGACCCAATTTGGTGGCAAGTGTCCCAGGTTTTGAGAGGATACTGCATTGTCTCTGAGTGGAGCAGGAGATACCAGAGGGACTCTGGGTGGGGGATAAGGATCTGGTCTCCATAGGGACTTCCTTGCTCCCAGGCACATTTTGGGTCAGAAAGCTACACTTTCTGAGCCTCTTCAATTGCCCGCCCAGGTCCAGGGCTTCCATACCTCCCTGGGCCCCCACACCCTCTTCCTCCTCATCATGGCTTCTCTCTGGGCACAGCCCAGCTCCTTGACTTCTGTGCTCTGTCTGGCACTCTTGTGTCTGCAGGAAGGGTGTCTGAAGTTGTCCCAGTGGAATGAGTCTGGTTACTGAGGCTCCACGGTGTCTACAGGTTATTTCCTTAGAGAACGGCTGCCCCCAAAGCTGTCTTGTTTAAAAAGTGATTTTTTTTTACAGTCTTGTATATTATGTCAACATTATAAAAAATTGGAAAACTCAAATAAGCATAGCTGAGAAAAAATTAGTCATCTCAATTGTTGCTACCTGGAGATGCTGTTAACTGTGCTAAAAAAGTTCTTTCAGACGTTTCATACAAATGGAGTGCGTACATACTTTACTTAAACATTTTTATTTTACAAATTTAAAAAAATTAAGTTTAACAACCTACAGAAAAGTGCTGAGATCATAAGTGTATCTATAGTTTGATTATTACAAAATACATGGACCCATAATCCCATAGCCAGCACCTTCTGGAACCTTTGTCAGAGATCTTCCCGCCTGCCTGAGGGGCGATCACCAGATCTTAGTCTTACCTGTTTTTGAATGTCATGTAAATAGAACTGTATCTGTACATCATTCACAGACACATACACATATATATAAATATGTATGTATACACATATATGCATATATATACACACATATTTAGAAATATACACATATATACACATATAAACACATGTGTAATTATATATTTATAAAAATAGGTTCATCCTGTAAGCCCTATTCTGTAACTTTTTTCATTTATCAGTAGATGATGGCTGTACATCTGTGTCTGTAAATACAGATCTTCCTCCTATATCCTTGTCAGTGACAGCATGGTATTCCATGGACCGGAATGTGTCCCACTGTGTTTAACCATCTCACTATTGTTGGACATTTAGGTTGTTTCCATTTTATTTAAAATTATAATCAGTAATTTTAAATGCAGTAGCTAAAATCTTTTGCAGATCCTTAATTATTTTCAGATAAATTCCTGGGTACTCCAGGAATCCCAGCTCCCAAGGCTGGCTAGTTCAGAGGGCACAGGATTTCCTGGTTGTCCTGTGGCTCCACCGTATCCTCAGGAATGTGACCCAGTGCTGGCCCACCTTCCCAGGGGCACTAGGTGTTCTAGGCCAGTGGGCTGTCTATGGGGGTTCCAGCCTCCATACTGCTGAGGACAGCCCCCAAGTTGCCCTGGCCCTCTCCACAGCCACCCACTCTTATTCCTGGGCTTTGGGCGGGTACTAACCAGACTTTGTTTTATTTTCCAATAGCGTTGCGTGGTACTGCGTTTTCTGAAGTTTCCTCCAAATAGGAAGAAGGTAAGATGGGTGGGTTTGCCCTGGACCCAGTTATTGAACCAATTACTTAGGAAAGCTTTGATTTTATTTTTGATGTAGAAGTATTGATATTAATTGTGGAAATTTAAATATGACACAAGCATTCAATGCAGAAAATGCTGTGTCTCTGATCCCTGTAGGACCCAGTGCTTTGACTTGCTGGGGTCACAGTGGGTTGTTTTGGTGAGTCCCTGGGTGCTGCGCTGTGTGCCACCTTGTCGAGTTCAGAGAGCCCTGCTGGTAGCCAGGACACCCAGTGCAAGGTCTCAGCTTTGCTGTGGCAATTTCCTTACACCCTGCAGCCTCAGTTTCTCAATCTGTAGAATTGTATCTATGAAAATAAAGTCTATAACACTGTGGTAGACAGCGTTACAGGTTACAACAGGCAGCTCAAATGGAGCATTGGTTTCTATTTGCTTTGATGTAGAAGTATTGATATTAATTGTGGAAATTTAAATCTAAGCAAAGTACTGTGAATGCCCTCGGAAAGCTGTTGCTGTTCTCTTGCATGCTCACTGACCACTGAGTTATAATATCTGTCTCCTTGGAAGTGGGATTTCATGGTAGTCTTTATTTAACTCTCAGTGGTTGCAGTGGTCAATATGGAGATCCCCAAAGAGCCCTTCCTCTTTCATGGTATTAGGAAGGAGGCACAGAAGCTGGTGTGAGCCCCACTCCAAAGCATAGGCTTTTATCTTAAAAGGAGAGCAAAGGCAGGAGCTGGGGCACACCATACACAGTGGGGATAGGGCAGTGATAGTTGGGTGGCGAGTGGAAATTGGGCGCAAGATCAGGATTGTAGGAGAGATGAGTCACCGAGTTATGGTGAGACAGCCAGAAAGCCTATGGGCACCAGTGGTGGCCAACCATGGAAATGAAGATCAGCCACATAGAGAAGAGGGGCCTGTGGGAGAAATGGCAGGGGGAGCTGCCATGAGATCTGGAGACCATGTGGTCAGTGCTGAGAAGGATGGCATAGGACTGAAGGGCATAGGTAGAGGGCTGCCCCGCCTTAGCTGCTGAAGAGAACTGTGCAGGATGTTGTGTTTCTGCGGAATCCACTTGGAAACTAGAACCATCTGGGAGACTGCCTCCAGCCCCTTCCGTCCCTACTCAGCATCTGCAAAGCCGACACTCAGTGAAGGGCCAGAGCTCCCTAGATGCCTCTGTCAACTTTTCCCGTTTCGGTTGATTGAGGCAATATCTTCCAAGGCAACAACTTGAGTATGTTTCTTATATAAATGGCATGGTGTGACACCAGTTGCATTATTGGTGAGGAATCGTGTGGTAATTCTGTCAATAAGAAGAGTTTTTTGTCACAAACTCTGCAGCCTCAGTTGTATGGAGCCACTGGGTATATTCCGAGCTTTTCTGTCAAGCTTCTTTCTAATGCATTCACACTGCATGTGCCACAGGATGCAGACCGTGGTCTTCATGTGTTACAGGTGCAGGTGGCAGCTCAGTCCAAGACCTTCCCAGAGCCTGAGCCATGTGTTACGCACCTCTTGGCTTGCCCCCGATGAGTAGTCCTCTTGCCCCTGAGAGAGACCTACAAATGGACCCTTCAGACCTCTTGCCTTTGGTCAGAGGGAGGGACACAAGGCTGATTTCCTGTCTCACTCAAATCTCACAGCTTATTTGCTCTTTAAGAACATCTGATTTGTGAGAAAATATTTTAGTCTATATTTAGAAGATGAAAAATAAAATCTAAATACTTTGTGATTTTTAGATGGGAGAGATTTTCAAAGTTGAATTCCTTAAAAGGTGTGCATGGGCTGCTGGTGGAATCCACAAGTGTTCCTGGTCGGGGAGGAGTGTGGGCACAGATGGGGCTCTGGGTAGAATGCAGAGATGGATCTGGGAGGCCAAGGGTACAGAAGCTCCAGTGGGTCTGGTGGTCTCTATAGTGAGGCTCACTTTCTTCCAAGTCCAGGGCTACCATCGTCTATCCATGGCTGCAGATGTGGCAACCCTATGTGTGACATGGGCTTGTGATGGTATCAGAGTCTGCTCCCTCCAGGTCCTGGTCATTGAGGCCTTCCTGTGCTTCTGTTTTACAGACCTCGGAAGAAATATTTCAGCACCTGCAGAACATAGTGGACTTTGGCAAAAATGTAATGAGAGAGTTTTTGGGGGAAAACTATGTTCATTGTGGGGTAAGTAATTTGTATTTAAATAGGCTAAGTTCATGGGTAAGATCCTTATCAATAATGCCAACTTCTCAATAATTCCTGGTGTTAGTTACAGAGTTTGCAAGTGCTTTTCTCATTTGTTGCATTGTGAGGTAGCAGAGGAGATAGTATTATTCCCATTTTCTAGCTGAAAAGCATGAGGTTCATGGAGACCATGCTCTTCTCCTGAGGGAGCTTTTAGAAGACTGTAGACATGCTGCTCACCTGCCAGGCCCCCTCCAGTCTTGGCAGCCCTTTGTCCTTCTCTGCAGCCCTCCCTCATCCTTTGGAGGGCAGATGCTTATCAGCAGGGAGGCTGGTGTGGTCACAACTTCCAAGTTGTACTTCCATAAGAGCAATTCTGTAGTCTTAACTATAGTTTTTCCTAAGTTAATACTTTGTGCAGGTGCTGGCCAAGTGCCCCCCTGATGATCACTGTTCTCCCAGAGTTCCGTAGGAGTTGTCTGTCTATCCATCTGTCAGGGGTTTGGCATGGTTCACATGGTTCATGAATCCAAATCAAGGGTTGGTAAATGTAGCCAAATGTTAAGAAGGATGTCTATTGTAAACATTTTATTCTGACTTAACACACAAATAGAACTCATTATAAAATCAGGAATTTAAAGTCGTTTAAAGAAATGCAGTTGTACTTTTTATCTTGGTGACTGTGGACTTTGGCTGGGCAGTTTGTAGATGCTGTGTCAAGAGTAGTTGAGACTCTTTGGCTCTGGACTTGATCCTGTCTATTCCTTTCCACATTTCTGTCATGGCATCGATGGCTCTACCGTCAGCCATGACTTCTTTTTCCAGCTGGGGAGCATCAAGACTCCTGCTGTACATGGACCTGAAAGGTGTGTGGTTGCCATGACCTCTCAGCCTTGCTCTCATGGTATGCAGGGCCAAGGTGTTTCTTTGAGAGAGGATTTGGATGCAGCTCTTTATCTTTCCTACACAAGATTCATAATCTGGAGGGATTCTGGGAAACATGGCGGAGTGAGAGACGTCCTCATATCTCTCCCCTTGAAACAGCAATAAGCTGAACATCTAAAACTCAACAAAAAAACCCAGACTGCACACTAGCATGTCTGAGTGTGAGATCTGTGCATAAGAGCTACCACAGGTCAGAACCCTGGGTGTTGGGTGGTGGACTGGGAGAAATAAAGAAGCTGCCTTATAGGCACCAGAGCTCCCTGCAGGAGGAGGGGGAGAGGAGAAGGTGCAGTGATTTCCCTGATCAGCCTGCCTAGAAGTGCTGGAACTTCTAGCAGCCAGCAGCAGGGCCCAGCCATCAAGGCAGAAAGCAGAGATGCGGGACGGGACCGCAGAGAAACAGCAGTTGATTTTTACCCATCCCAGTTGCAAAACCGAGACTGAGCCACAGCCCCCAACTCCCAACCCAGAGGGTCCCTCCCCCCATACCCTCCAAGACCGATCTCCAGGGAGCCCCAGGGGAATCTGAGCAAATGCTGCCGAAACTTGCTAACACTGACAAGGACTGTGATTAAATATCTACAAGAAAAGAAAAAAGGCATTTAGACTTTATATAAAGCTGGGATCCAAGAGGCTTAGATGCTACCCACTGGAAACCAAAAGAAAAACGCTTTCTTTGCAGCAGACTAAAGAGAGACCTTTATATAATAAATCTTCTTTCTGGAAAAACAACGGAATACACTTCTATTAATGCCCAGGTGGAGAAATAGTCAATTAAATACCATGAACAACTAAGGTGACAAGGCATCTCAGAAAGAAAGAGAAAAATCTCCAGAAAATAAGATGTAGAAATATGAGACTTAAGTGACAGAGACTTCAGGATGGTACTTCTGAAAAAACTTGAGATTGAAAACATTTCAGATCAGCAATTTCAAGAATTGATAAAACAACTAGATGAGCAGAGAGAGGAGATTGAAACCCTCAAAAGGAAGCAAATAGAACTTCTGGAGATGAAGAACACCCTGCAAGAGTCGAAAAATGAAATAACAAGCTTGGGAAATAGAGTAGACCAAATGGAGGAAAGGATTAGTGATATCGAAGACAGAAATATAGAAATAAATCAGAAAGAAGAAGAGAGAAACTGAAGAGTGAGAAATAATGAAAGAGAAATACAAGAACTAGCTGATACCATCAGGAGAGGAAACATAAGAAGGATGGGCATTCTTGAAGGGGAGGAAAAGGAACAGGGGATTAGAAAGCATTTTCAGACAAATGGTGGACAAGAATTTCCCAAATCTAAGGAATGAGGTGGAACTTGGAATTCAAGAAGTGAACAAAGCACCCAATTATCTCAACCCAAATAGGCCTTCATCAAGACACATTATATTAAAGTTATCAAAAATCAATGACAAAGATAGAATTCTCAGAGCTGCCAGGGAGAAGAAAATGGTAATGTATATAGGAAATCCCATTATATTATCATCAGACTTCTCAGCGCAGACCTTACACGCCAGAAAGAAATGGAATCAAATATTTAAACTACTAAGTGAAAGGAACTACCAGCCTAGAATAATGTATCCATTTAAGCTCTCCTTTAGATATAAAGGAGAAATTAAGAACTTTCCAGACATAGAAAAATTGAAGGAAATCTCTACTACAAGGCCTGCACTACAGGAAATACTGAAAGGTGTCAGCTCATCGAAAACAAAACAAGAAAAACAAAACAAAAATACATAATTAGGAGTAAGGTGAATATTAGGCAAATAGAAACAGAGGAGGGCAACTTTTGCTAAGAACATGGCATTATAAGCTTAAATAATAAGAAGAGAATTGCTATAGCAAGATAGTAGTGAACATTTAGTATCTATAGGGACAAATTGAGATAAAAATGACTGAAAAGGGGAGGATTCAAAGATTCAAATTTGCAAAGGGAAAAGAAAATGGACAACTGTATATATGTAACTATCCCTTTTATATTTATGATGGTAACCACACACCAAAGATTCAGAACTAAAGTATATAACGTAAAACATGAACCAGAGGCAAAACCCACAAAAGCCAACCAAAATAAAGGAAATGGAAATCCAAGGACAAGGAAGCATGGAAACACCGAGCTACCAGAAAGCAAAAGATAAAGTGTCTATAAGAAGACCTCATATTTCAATAGTCACCCTAAATGTAAATGGACTGAACTCACCAGTAAAAAGGCACAGAATTGCAAAACACAAAACCCAACCATATGCTGCTTCCAGGAGATACATCTCAGCTCCACAGACAAATATAGACTCAAATTGAAAGGGTGGAAAATGATATTTCAAGCAAATGGCATTCAAAGAAAAGTGGGAGTACTGGTACTAATTACTTCAAAATAAAAAGTGTAAAGAAAGATACTGAGGGACACTTTGTAATGATAAAGGGAATCAGGCACCAAGAAGACATAACACTTATTAATATCTATGCTCCCAATCAGGGAACCCCGAAACATATAAAACAATTACTAACAGAACTAAAGGGAGAAACAGACAAAAACACTATCGTAGTAGGGGACCTAAATACCCCACTCTGCTTATACATTCTTCTCTAGTGAGCATGGGACATTCTCAAGGATCAACCACATACTGGGACACAGAGATAACCTCAACAAATATAAGAGGGCTGAAATCTTACCAACCATATTCTCTGATCATAGTGCTTTGAAACTAGAGATCTACTGTAAAAAGAAAGTGAGAAGAACCACAAATACATGGAGATTAAACAGTTGCTACTGAAGAATAACTGGGTCAGAGAAGAAATAAAAAGAGAGATCAAGAGATACATAGAAACAAATGATAATGATAGTACAACATATCGAAACTTTTGGGACACAGCAAAAGTGGTCATAGGAGGAAAGTTAATATCATTACAGGCCTACCCCTAAAACAAGAACGAGCCCAAATAAACAACCTAACACTTCATCTTTAAAAATTAAAAAAGGAAGAACAAATGAGGCCTAAAGTCAGCAGAAGGAAAGAAGTAATCAAAAACAGAGCAGAAATAAATGAAATTAAAAATGAAAAACAATAGAAAAATAAATGCAACAAAGAGCTGTTATTTTGAGAAGGTTAACAAAATTGGAAAATCCTTGGCTAGACTCACTAAAGAAAAAAGAGAAAGGACACAAGTAAACAAAATCCGGAATGATGAGGGGATATTACAACTGACATCTCAGAAATACGAAGGATCATAAAAGAATGAAAAAGTATATAACACCAATAATAACCTAGAAGAAATGGACTAGTACTTAGAAAAATACAATCTTCCTAGACTGAATCAAGAAGAAATGGAACATCTAAATAGACCAATCAGCAGTATGGAAATTGAAACAATCATTAAAATCTTACTCAAAAGTAAAAGTGCAGGACTAGATGGCTTCATCAGTGAATTCTACCAAACATTCAAAGATTTAATACCTATTCTGAAACTCTTCCAAAAAATAGAAGAAGAGGCAATACTTCCCAACTCATTTTATGAGGCCAGTATTACTCTGATACCAAAACCTGGTAAAGATAACACAAAAAAAGAAAACTACAGACCAGTATCTCTCATGAAGACAGATGCAAAAATCCTAAATAAGATAGTAGCAACATATTATAAAGATTATATGGGGCGATCAAGTGGGCTTCATCCTAGGGGGCACAGAGATGGTTCAACATACACAAAGATTAATATTATACACCACATAAAATAATTAAAAAATAAGAATCATAACGATCATATCAATAGATGCAGAAAAAACCTTCAACAAGATACAGCATTTATTTATGATCAAAACACTTAACAAAATCGGTATAGAAGGAAAGTACCTTAACATAATAAGGCCATCCATGATAAACCCTTAGCCAACATTATACCTAATGGTGAAAAACTAAAACTCTTCCCTCTAAGATCAGCAACAAGCAAGGCTGTCCACTATCACCACTGTTATTCAATGTAACATTGGATGTCCTAGCGAGTGCAATCAGGCAAGAGAAAGATATAAAAGGCATCCAAATAGGAAATGAAGAAGTCAAACTGTCACTGTTTGCAGATGACATGATCCTCTACATAGAAAACCCTAAAGAATCCACAAGAACACTTCTAGAAACAATAAGCAAATACAGTAAAGTCTCTGGATACAAAATCAACGTTCAAAAATCCATAGCTTTCCTATATTTTAATAATGAAGTATCAGAAAATGCAGTGGGAAGAATAATTACTTTTGCAGTTGCCACAAAAAATAAAATACCCAGGAATAAATCTAACGAAACATGTGAAGGACCTATATAATGAAAACTACAAGACCCTATTAAAAGAAATCAAAGAAGATACAAAGAAATGGAAAGATATTCCATGTTCTTGGATTGGAAGAATCAACATCATTAAAATGACCACATTACCTACGCATTATACAGATTTAATGCAATCCCCATCAAAATTGCATCAGCCTTTTTTAAAGAAATAGAACAAAAAATCATCAGATTTGCATGGAAGCACAAAAGACCACTACTTGCCAAAGGCATCCTGAGAAAAAAGAATGAAGCTGGAGGCATCACTCTGCCTGACTTCAAATTATGCTACAAAGCGACAGTAATAAAAACGGCATGGTATTGGCAGCAAAACAGACACATGGACCAGTGGAAAAGAGTCGAGAGTCCAGAAGTAAACCCATATTTTATGGGCTAATAATTTTTGACATAAAAGCCAGAAACATACAGTGGAGAAAAGAAAGCCTCTTCAATAAATGGTGCTGGGAAAATTGGAAGGCCACCTGCAAAAGAATGAAACTTGTCTATCACCACACACCAAAATTAACTCAAAATAGATTAAGGACTTGAATATAAGACCTGAAACAATAAAATGCGTAGAAGAAACGTAGGAACTAAACTTAAGGACCTTGGACTTAAAGAGGATTTTACGAATTTGACCTCAAAAGCAAGGGAAGTAAAAGCAAAAATAAATGAATGGGACTACATCAAACTAAAAAGCTTTTGGTCAGCAAAAGAAATCGTCAACAAGGTAAAAGTTGAAAATCACATAATATCACATATGTGCGATATAAACCTAAAAGCAACAAATGAACAGGATAAACAGAGACTCAGGGACATGGACAATGGACTAGTGGTTACCAGAGAGTAGGGGGTGGGGGAGGAGGGAAGAAGTAGACAGCGTAAAGGGGGTCAAATATAGCGGAGTTGGGGGAGGGTGAAGTAGGTAAAGGGGATCAAATATATTTCAGCTGTAGGAAATTGTACTCTGGGTGGTAATTACACAATAGAATACATAGATATCAAATTATATTGTCCACCTGAAAATTATATAATTGTATTAACCAATGTTACCCCAATAAACTTAAAAAAAAAGGTTCATAATCTGCCATCTGCACACTTTGTGCTTTTGCTTTCTTTAAAGTATAGTGAGAGCTTGGACTTTTGTGATATCATCTTAAGTTTTGAATTTTTGAATTTTTGTAATTCCCATTCTTCCATCATTTCACCTTGCCTAATTCAGAACTAAATTTTTTAGCAACTCATCTTTTATCAGTTTATAACATGTTTAGTTAAGTTGCCATAGCAGCCTGGGAAGCAAAGGATCGATTGGACCAGGGCGGACTGCAGAAGCATGTCTGTATGACGGGATGGCTGCTGGCTTGCAGATCATGTGGCAGCACAGCCATGGGCTGGCATAGGTGCATCCATGTGATAGGACAGTCACAGGCTGGTGCTGACACGTAGGTGGGACAGGGTGGGATGGCAAAGGCATGGAGTGTAAGCAGACAGAGTCCTGGCATTCTCATTCTAGGCTGGTCTCTTGCTTCCTCTTGGGACTTCTTCAGAAGTCAGAATTCTGCCACCCTGGAAACACAAGGAAGATGGTGAGCAATGTAGATTAAATAAAATCTATTACTTCGAGAAATTGCAAAGAAACATCAAAGTATAGAGAAATTGCTTTGTTTTTTGCCCAAATGCACTGTGGCTGATGGACGCACAGGATGTCTCACCTAGAAATTAATATTCAATCATAGCCCTTTCTCAAGCTGTTTCTCAGATGGGAGTGTGAGAAGCCTCAGGTTGTTTGTGGAGAAAGCTGGTGAGGAACGTTTATGGTGGCAGAACTGCTTCAGGCCCTGCTTTGCTGTCCCCAGACACTGTGGGTACAGGAGAGGTGCCATGTCAGGGGTGCTCTGTGGAGACTGACTGTGGGTGACATGGGGCATGCTGTTGGTTGCCACCAACATTGACACCAGCTGACTGAGGAGAGCCTGTCACTCCGTGCATAGAAGCATTAGTGTCTCTGTTTAATCTGGATATGTTCTTCAAAGAGCAACTTTATTCCTAAGGCCCACATACTGAGTATTTTTTTAGTGTGCTAAAATATACATAACATAAGATTTATCATTTTAACCATTTTTTAAATATGCAGTTCTGTGGCATTAAGTATTTCACATTGTTGTGCGACCCATACTGAGTATTTTGTATTTGTTCTTACAGGAAGTTGTTCAGCTGCCTTTAGACTTTGTGAAACAGCTTTGTTTAAAGGTACAGTCTGAAAGACCAGGTAAGGGTTTCTAACTTAGAAATTTTTTGTAATTTTATCATATCCCATTCGAAAAGTGTTTGACATTATTACTCTTGGTAGGTAGGTGCAGTTTTCAGCAATTCTTTTGCCAGAAACTTGATTATCTGGGGTAGAAATCCTAGGAGTTCATGAATACAATTCTGGGCATCAGATACCCAGGTCACTGCAGAGGATATATGACCAAGAAATGATTAATAAAAATAAATGTGCATTTGGGAGAGAGAGGGAGCTGAAGGAGTTAGGGGAGACTTAGGACGTGAAGGTGGGCTATAGGAAGGCCTGGAGAAGTCAAGGAAAACCAGCTAGACCCAAACCACAGAGGATGGGCCAGGTCCTAGAAGGTCGTAGCTTGATGACCCTCTCCCAGAGCTGGAATCCACTTAGCCTGCTTATCCTCCTGGTGGAAGGCAGGAAATGTGAGTTTTGTGGTTGGTACTTTTCCCCCATCACTTCATGTACCTTCCCTGCATCACTTCACATATGCTTCCACGCCTTCCCTACCTCTTCTTTATCATCTGCTATACCTCCTCCTTTTACTTGGAGTACCTTTACCCCTTCACCTTGCATACCCTCACCCCATCACCTCACATACCTTCCCTGAACTTGGTCCTGGCAGTAATGACAGAAACCATATCAAAGCCTTTCCTTTCACAGTTAGAAACAAAGATGTAAAGTCCATGTTATTGAGGATGGAAATGCCTCCTCCTGAAGCACAGCCAATAGAAAAATCTTTTCTTATTTGATTAAGAACATTAAAGCAAACAGAACACTGTGCAAGCCTCTGGTCTGGGGAGCACTGAGGAGCAGGGCTCTGTGTGTGGAAATGGGTGATGAGGAGGAAAGAGGTCATAGCCACGTTAGAGCCAGGACTGTGTCTCAGCTTTGTTTTCCTCACACTGTTTTCCTAAGATAGGCGTGCTCCAGGATTGTGCTATCCAGCTGCTAATGCTGCTGAGTATCATCACCTTATTTTGTAATTAGCAATTAAATTTATATTACTTAACATTAATCAGAACTGTCCCCTCATTGTAGTACTGACTCATTGTTAGCCTTGCTATGTGAAAGGAGAAAAGCTGATTTCTCCTGGGGTCTGGAGGCCACATGCTTCTGTAACTGTCTACACTATGGCTTTAGCAGTCAGTGCTGAAGAAATAATGGTGTTTGAGTATTCCGAAGGAACCAGTTTTAAGCGGAAGGTTGAGGCTGCTGCCTCCATTCTCTCTGAGCTCCTGGGTTAAAGGACTCATGGAACTGGGGGGCAGTCCCTGTGACCACCCTTATTTCTGATGACAGCTGCATATTTTTGGGTCCACAAGACCAACTTCAGGTTCTGATAATTTGCTAGAAGGACCCTTAGTACTCACTGTTACCCTCATGGTTATGACTTATCACAACTAAGAGACACAGATTAAGAGGCCCTGGGGGCAGGTCCAGGGAGACCAGTTTCCAGGTGTCCTTTCCCACTGGAGTCATGCAGCTAGTGCTTACTTTTTCCAGCAGTGATGTATGACCACATGGAGGAATGCCAAGCAAGGCGGCTTCCTGAGCCTTGGTGTCAAGGTTATTGTTAGGGCTTGGGCATGTAGACAGAGCCGACTGGCTACTCTTAGTCTTGAGCCCCTCTGGAGGTCAAGCTGATACTATGGGACTCACATTCCCACCATGGATCACAGTGTTACATTCATATGGCTCGAAGTCCCCAAGTAAACACGGGCATTCCTCAGGTAGGATGTTGCAAGGCTTAGAGGTGACCTCCCAGGAGCTGGAGGCCAAGTCCAGCCCTCTCTTAGGCAAGGCCGACCCCTCACCAACAGGAATCCACCAGGTTGTCATGGGATCATCTCGTATCTCTTGCACTGATCTTCAGGTATTTTTTTGCTCTGTTTTCTAGAATCTCGCTGTGACAAGGACCTGGATACTCTCAGTGGTTATGCTCTGTGCCTTCCCAATTTAGCCAGACTTCAGACCTATCATTTTGCTGAGCACCGACCAATTCTGTGTGTAGAGATCAAGGTGAAGTTTTGTCAAGGGGAAAGTGGTGTGGGGAAAAGGGAAAGGTGGATCCTGGTTTGCAAATCCATGTTAACTGCCTGGAGCACACTTTCCCTCAGAAGCTTCTGGTATTCCCCACAATCCTCTTGGGTAGATTCCTAGGAGTGGAATTGCTGGGTCTTAGGGAAATTCTGTTTAACTTTTTAAAGGCCCCACAGTCCCTTCCCAGGGACCCCCAACTCCTAGAGATGAGGCTTCTTCCTCCTCCTTCTATGCATGTCACCTACACCTTGCTGTTCTGGTTCCTCCTACCAGCCAGACCTGAGGGGCATGGTTTCCTAGGCTCCCAGATTTAGGTCCATTCCCAGGCACTACGATTGGGACCCAGTCAGAGACAAGCTCTGGCAGATGGCCACCAGAAGAAAACGCGTTGGGTTATGCCTTCCCTGTTTTCCTTAGAAAATGCAGCTTATTGAGCCTACTCCTGACCTCCTTTCCTGCCATGCCCCTTTGGCGACTTGGTGACACTACATGCTGTGCTCTAGGAGGTCAGTTTGAGAGTTTCCCATTAGAATGGGTGGCAGTCTGTTCCTTTGCCCCAGAGGCACAGAGGCCTATGTGACTTTTAAGGCCCTGGTTTGTTGTGGCCAGGAGTCCTTAGGAGAGCGACAAAGGACATCACTCATCTAGTGGAGAGCAATGATTGCAGGATAAGGGCCAGGCCCCTGGCTTGAGCTCTGCTGCCCAGTGTCCAGGGCAGAAGATTCCCAGACATCCCAGGCCATTGTTTGTCTTTTTCCTCCAAACCTCTGTGGTAGTAAATCTGGGTCACACTCTTGGCCCTGAACATTCACAGCCCTGGGTGCTCAGTGGGACTGATTATCTGCTTCCCCAACCAAACGGTGAGTGTCTTAGGCATCACAAACAATAGTGGCATGGTTTTCAGTGCCCCAAGGCTAAGTACTACAAGCCTTGCATATTGTATGTGCCTCTAAACCATGGCTTTTAAAAGGCAGCTGGGGTTCCAGATGTTCTAAGAGCCTAGCAACCATCAGATGGGCACCTTCCTGTTCATGAATTCTGGTCAGAGGGAACAAGGGTTCTGCTTCTTGGACTTGGGAGCCTAGGTCAGATCTGCACTCCTAGAGTCTTTCCAATCATGTTCTGTAATGAAAACACAAAGCTACTCTCTGTTGTACTTTTTCTAAGCCAGCAATTGAGATGCCATTGTTTTTCCCCAGTGAGAGTTTTGACCTGAGAGTCTGTAGCAGTAAAGAGATGTTTATTTGATGTGATGAGGGAAGCATCAGTTCCCACGGAAGGCTGAAGAGAAAAGCAACTTTGGGGGATGTTTCTCTCTGACTCTTGCTGCTGCTCTTTGGTGTCACCCTTGATTATCATGTAGTTAGTTATATGTCTACTTAAAGGTATGTGATTTCTCCCTAAGCAGTTTTTCTTCCTTACTTGTTTATTTTGCAGCCCAAATGTGGGTTTATTCCTTTCTCCAGTGATGTTACACATGAGATGAAACATAAAGTGTGCCGTTACTGCATGCACCAGCACCTCAAGGTGAGAAGAGCCCATCAGCCTGGGTACCTTCGTGCACAGAGCTGCATGGTGGGTGGTTGGGCCTAAGATGTGACCACCTAGAGTTTTCAGAAGAGTAAAAGGAAATGTAGATATTTATTATTCACTTTTTATTTCACAAGTACTTCATGTTCTCCTTTTCTTGTTGTTTTAAGTTGAGATATAATTTACTTACCTTAAGATTTACCCTTTTAAAGTGTATAATTTAGTGTATTTTAGTGTATTCACAAAGTTGGGCAACCGTCACTGCTATCTAATTCCAGAACATTTTCATCACCTTGAAAAGAAATCCTTTCCCCAGTATAGCACCACTCTCTAATCTCCTGTCCTGCTAACCTCTGTCAACCACATGTCTCTGTGGATTTACCTGTTCTGGACGTTTCATATAAATGGAATCATACAGTATGTGGCCTTTTGTGACTGTCTTCTTTCACATAGTGTAATGTTTTTGAAGTTCATCCATGTTGTAGCAATATCAGTACTTCATTCTTTTTATAGCTGAATAACATTCCATTGTATGGGAACATTTTGTTCATCCATTCATCTATTGATGTATGTGGTTTGTTTCTACCTTTTGGTTATTGTGAATAATGTTGCTATGAGCATATGTGTATATTTACTTGTTTGAATCCCTGTTTTCAGTCCTCTTGGGTAGATTCCTAGGAATGGAATTGCTGGGTCTTAGGGAAATTCTGTTTAACTTTTTAAGAAAACATTACACTGTTTTCCCCAGCTGTTGTACCATTTTGCATTCCCACTGGCAACGTATGAAGATTCTAATTTCTCCACCCCTTTGCTAACCCTTTTTGTTGTCCCTGTTTGTGGTTATAGTCATCCTAATGAGTGTGAGGTGGTATTCTCATTGTGGTTTTCATTTGCATTTCCCTAACAGTGATGCTGAGCATCTTTTCCTGTGTTTATTGTGCCATTTGTAGATCTTTTTCAGAGAAATAGCTATTCAAGTCCTTTGCCCATTTTTTGAATTGGGTAGTTTTTCAGTTGTAGTTTTAGAGGTTCTTTATATATTCTGGATATTAATCTCATCACATGTGTGATTTGCAAATATTCTCTCCCATTCTGTCAGTTTGCCTTATTACTCTGTTGAGAGTGGCCATTGAGGCTTAAAGTTTTTAATTATGATAAAGTCCAGTTTGTCGACTTTTTCTTTTCTTGCCTGTGCTTTTGGTGTCATATCCAAGAAATCTTTGCCTAATCCAAGGTCGTGAAGCTTTTCCCCTATGTTTTCTTCCAAGAGTTTTATGGTTTTAGCTCTTAGGTTTTAGGTCTTTTTACCATTTTGAGTTAATTTTTGTATATGGCCCTTGGTAAGGGTCCAGCTTTGTTCTTATGCATGTGTATATTTATTTTTCCCAGCACCATTTGTTGAACAGACTGTTCTATGTCCATTAAATAGACTTGGCACCATTATTGAAGATCTCTTGTCCATATATGTAATGGATTATTTCTGGGCTCTCTTTTCTATTTTATTGGTCTATATATATGTCTGTCCTTATGCCAGTACCACACTCTTTTTTTGTTTTTTGCTTTTTAATTTTTTTATTAAGTTTATGGATTATACAATTATATAATTTTCCGGTGTATATTATAATTTGACATCTATATATTCTATTGTGTGATTACTACCTAAAGTCCAGTTTCCTTCACTTACCATATATTTGATCCCCTTTACCCACTTCACCCTCCCCCTACTCCCCTATACTTGACCCCCTTTACCCCATTTACCTCTCTCCTTCTCTCCCACCGCCTACCCTCTGGTAACTACTAGTCCACTCTTTTGATTGCTGTAGCTTTGTAGTAAGTTTGGAAATCAGGAGGTATTAGTCTTCTAGCTTCATTCTTCTTTTTCAATATTGTTTTGAATATTTGGGGCCCCTTCCAATTACATATGAAATTGAGGATTGGATTTTTTTATTTTTGTAAAACAAGCCTTGGAATTTGACAGAAATTGCAGGAACCTGTAGATCACTTTGGGTAGTTATCACCATTTTAACAATATTAAGTCTTATAATCCATGAACGCAGGTTGTCTTTCCACTTATTAAGATTTTCTTTAATTTCTTTCAGCAACGTTTTGTAGTTTTCAGTGTACAAGTCTTCCACCACTTTGGTTAAGTTTATTTCTAGGTATTTTATTCTTTTAGAATAGTGTAAATGTGATTATATATGGAATTGCTTACTTTATTTCCTTTTTGGAGTGTTCATTGCTGGTGTATAGAAACAAAACTCATTTTTGTGTGTTGATGTTGTATGCTGCAATCTTGCTATGTTTCTTATTAGCTGTAGTATTTTCTTTTAGATTTTTTGAAATTTTCTTTGTATAGGATAATGTCATTTGTGAATAGAGAGTTTTACTTCCTCTTTTCCAATTTAGATGCCTTTAGCTTTTTCATTTCCTCAAAGAAACCAGCTTGGATTGTTGTTGTTTTTTTTTAAATTAAGTTTATTGGAGTAATATTGGTTAATAAAATTATTTAATTTTCAGGTGTACATTATAATTTGAAATCTGTATATTCTATTGTGTGTTTACCACCCAAAGTCCAGTTTCTTTCAGCTACCATATATTTGATCCCCTTTACCCACTTCACCCTCCTTTTAAACCCTTTATTTGACACCTTTTATCCTGTCTACCTCTCACCTCTTCCCCCATCCCACTAGTAACCACTAGTCTATAGTCCTCTGGTAACCACTACCTTAT